ACATACCAAGGTACGAGCGAGAAGGATCAGGGGGGGACAGGAACTTCGAATCATCCCCACCACTGTAGCGCGCGCTCCGAGATCGAAGATCTGGCTTGACATCGAGATTCACCGTCCAAAAGTCAGACCACGAGGCTGCTTGGGGGGGGTTATGTTATGTGAGCGTGTAATAATATGTGAGTAATTGAGTGACTTTGGCAGCCTCTCCGGAAAATTTTTCCAAGAAGGATCGAACACTATGATATACCTACCCGGTACAAAGGACAAGTTACTATACCAAGAATTCGATCGCCCCAGACTCGTTATGTAGTATGCGTAGAGAGTGCAAGCAGAATAACAATTCCATCGTGCTCGTGTGCGAGGACTCGTGCGAGTAGATAGATACCCCGAGTTCAAGAGAGGAGCTAGCTAATCTACTTTGTACCCGTAGGTACCTATATACTATAGCTACCTACAAGTAGCAACGTAGTAATAAGGGCTCGCGAGGTACCTACCTACCTACCTACCTACCTACCTCCTCCAGGCCGTCACACTCATCATACACATACCGAGTACTCATACCCATTGTGGACCCACACTCGTGCTCACATTCATACTTGTGCTCGGCTACTCGGCGACGCCGTGCGAGTTTATGAATGTATTAATGGCTTCTCCCCTCGTGGTGAGCGTCAAGGGCCGGTTGTCGATTGGGTCTGTATGTAGATAGATCAGTTGGATAGATCAGCGGATAGATTGGTGGGTAGGTGGGTGGGTGGGGGAGTGGATAGATAGGAAAAGGGTGTAGAAAAGTGGAGAATGCCCCGATTCGGACATCATGGCCTCGCCCTAGGTGCCCCCTGGCTCCTGGTCGCTGACATAAAAAAAAATCCCCCTTCGTTGTTGAAGCCCATCCATGGTGCGCATGGGCTTACTCGTACTTGTATGGTGCGTGCCGTGGGAAAATTGCTTTTTGGACTCGGTACATTTCCTTGTTTCCCTCGTACTGGATACTCGATACTCGATACTCGTACCGAGTTCCTATCTACACGCATTGGTCTCCTTTGGTGAGCTGGTGCTGGGCTCACTTCTTCCCCAGTCGTACTTGTAGCGAGTAGGTACTCCAAGCTCACAACTGCGGCTCCGAGGTACCGAATACCTACATACCTCGTACCTACATACCTATCGAGCTATGTATGAACGAGGTATTCGGTACATTGTCAAGACCCCAGCTCGATCGGCAAGATTCAAAACTTGCAAACTTGCTCTCTCGCTCACTTTCTCTCGCTTCAACCCCCCTCTCCCCATTCCTTCGCCTCATCCCCACCATACTACTGAGCACCTATGTATGTACCTACCTTTCCCCTCGGGCACATGGCGGACGCGTGCGCCAGGCAGATAGGCAGGCTATGCGCGATTCATGGGCGAATGGATAGGTGGGTGTGAATGTGCAGCGCGGCATGTGCAGGTAAGCGAGCGAGCAAGCTACCTACCTACCTACCTACCTACCTCAAGCAAAGTACGTCCAGAACCCCTCAGTGCCATCGCGTGGTAAAAAAAAAAAGAGTAGTGCCCGATTTGGAGACTGTGAGGAACAGGGTATGTCTGCAACAAGGAAGAGTGCAAGGGGCTGCTTTCTCACTCGAGACTGACTGTACAAGTACAAGGTACAGCATACAAGTACAGCACCTACATCGAATGAGGGGTGATATGGCGTGGCCTGGCGTGGCGTGGTGTAATGCTAGCCCATCCACTATTCACCACTCATCATCCACACTGCGTAGGCCCTTTCGCGCAGGCTCACGCGTCAAACCGCACGAGGTATGCCTCGAAATGAAGAACGAGCGGAACCGCGAAAACAGGCGATAGGACGGGCTCGTGCCGAAGGAGAAGAGGAAAGAGGGGAATGGAGATCGATCGATATTCACCTAGTGATACCGGAAGCAGGACTCGTGGATCGTAGGTTCTTAGGCATCGACGCAGCCAGTCTGGCGGTCCAAGTATCTTCCGTGCAGCTGTAGACGCAGAATGACATGGTTGGCAGGGACTTTTGCTCGAACCGAACACCAGGCCCTGTGTGAATATTAATCGGGGCATCGTGGCCAGCATGAAGGGCAGAGACTCGTCCCAATCCACATTGCTACTGGGTTGTGCTGTCGACATCAGGGTGCGGGGTGCCATGAATCGGATCAATCAAAGAGATCACTATTAACCATCGCAGGGTGCCCAAGGCCGCATGTTGCAGGTTTAAACCTTTGGCCGTCAGCAGTGTACCAGGCAGCAACTCCAGGCTTTCTGGGGGGTTTTGGGGATATTTCGGGACCAGGGTCATATCGAGTAATACCTCGTGCCTTGCGATTGATCGAATTTCCCCTCGTGCCGCCTCGCTCAAATCCCGCAAAGCCGCGCGCGCAGAAGCAGAATTCAGTCATGATCCAGGGGGCGAACGGGTGGCCATGGAACAGATGATCTTGCTTCTCTCTTCTTGCTCCCCTTCTCTCTGTTCTTGTTTTTGGAATTCTTCCTGTTTGTGTCGTAGGAGCGACAAGCCGAGAGCCACCGCCTGGATGGCCGACTAACCATAAAAGGGAATAGCAAGGCAGCCTGGTCTTCCGTCGAGCTTCTGGGCGCCTTTCTGAAAACGATCTACTTACTCAAGTTGGGGTTGCTTACCTACTGTATAAGGTAAGCGACCTGGAGCTTCACCAGGGGCAGACTTCCGTACCTGTGTCCTAACATGACTCTTCCCAAGCTACCCGAGTACACCGAGGACGTTTCATTACCCAGTCTTTCGGAGATTAGGCAAGGGTAGTGCCTAGGGTAGATGAAGCAACATGCTTCTAGTCCTTGGTAAGCCCATTCATCTGGATGTGGAAAGGGTAGCAAACACGCCTCGCGCCGGTTCAAACCCAATGTTTCTGAGAGAATGCGCTTCCTCTCGAGCAATGACCATGTCTTGCCAAGGTATAGATGCGGTACTGTAGTCGTAGCTGCACAAACCCAAGACGGATCAGTAATCCCTTGTACGCTTCGTGGGAAATCGCTTCGTACCCGAGTCTGGACCTTCAAGGCCCGTTCCATACAATCTGGAACAATACCGAACACAGAACCTATCACTCCAACAGCACGCTGTGGGGAGACCAGAAATAGCAAAAGGGAAGCCTCTTGCGATACAACTGGTAAGCAGGTGATAAGCTGAGATTCTATTTGCATTCGACCAGCGGGGCCCTTGAAGGTCAGTCCACACGAGACGTAGCGTCTGCCGTATCGCTGCAAACAGGGACTTTTCGCACAATACTGAATACACAGATCTAGACTCTTTGCCGTGGTGGTAGCAAACGGTGCCGTCTTCAGACAACGGGCCTTTGCCTGTGTTGATCAGCGCGTGCATGGTTGAGGCCCTCCTACCCGAATTTGGAATTTCCCCAGTCATTCGTGGTTGGTTGGTTGATTGGTTGCATCGCTACTCGACGCTGCGAGGAGCGAGACGCTGGCAGAACCATGTCGTCTTTCGCCGGCTTCAAATCATCTGCTGCTTTCCGATTTCCAAATTCCGATCTGTATGACTGATCCATTACCAAAGCAGGATGTGAGCATGGGGGGCGTATGCGCCTGTCGAACTTTTGGATTACACACATGCCTGTAGGATTCCAATGGAATGTTTGCCAGTACGCGAGAGATACCGCTCGACACATGGTGTATTCGCTTCGAGGCAAGGTGGTGGTGGTGTGAGAGTTGTCACAAAACTGAACAGAGGATCCTGTGTCGCCGCATCCTCCAGTGGCCTGAGCATTCACTGTCTTGCTGGCAGTAGCCTTGCTTGAGGCCTGAGTCATCCTCGCCCTCTTCAATCAGCAATCCCTTCATGAAGTTACCCAATCCCTCAAAGGAGGAATGAAGATTGACATGAACGAGCTGAACAATTGCTGGACGCCTCCACGAATACATGGCCGCTTGAGCTGACGGGCCTCCATTTGGAATTTCCTGGCAATTCTTCGGGACACCATCAGACAATATCGACCCAGGCTTCCTTGCATTTGACAGAAGGATTATTGTCCACGTGTGGAGACAAGAACCGAAGGCATACCTTGGGACCCCACGGGCAAAATTGTCCGAAGGAATCGAGAGTCCAAGATTAGGAGGATCCATAGCTCAGCCTTGAACACCAGCTGTAGCCCTTTTCCGATGTCAGATGGGAGTGAAAGATGGAGTCAGGCTCAGGACAAGCATGGCACTGCGTTTGTAACAATCCCAGGCATTGTCCGGTCTCGCCAGAGGTTGTGTCGAGGTCGGCATGTATGGTGACTGTTCCAAACACTGGGAACTTGAGAGCCGCTTTGCTCATGTCTTTTTGTGAACTTACAGACGATTTTCTCAGCAATGCCCCTTCCCCTGTTGACGTGCGCGCCAGCTGAAGTATTTAGGGTCAGAGCCATCAGACATTCGACTACCTCAGTTTTGGATGATCAAGATGAACTTTGCAACAGGCTCGACCCAATGCCTGATGAAGTACCAGCATCCCAACTCCGGCATATAGCTGGTGCGGCTCCCAGAAAATGTTCAACTTCTAATTTGCCAATCTCCTACCTGCTTATCACCAAAGAAGATGCATCCTCTCGTGAGCATCTTCAAATCACCGTAAAGAACCTCCTCTGTTCAACCTCACGCCGGTCTTGGAAGACGTCAGGGTTCTGGAAATTGATATCCCCTCCGCATGAGACACAGACTTGGAGCGCAACAAGAGACATTGGATAATGGATTCTCCACGCGAAGTTGAAGTAACACTCCACATTCTCTGATCAAGACGCCATTGGGATCAAGCAACCACGATGAATCAGCCGCATGAATGTTGCTGGCATATGGCGTTAGGGCGATCGAGGAACTTCTTCCAGACAAAACCAATGGTGAATGCTTGCCTGATCGGTCAGTTGTACCGAATTCGTCAAGTGTGCCTACCAGATGAGGAAGCAAGTCGCTCTACAGCTTGGTGACGGAGCGATATATCTTCACCTAAGCACTCCAACATGTCGCAGAGACTGTCAACTTCAAGTCGGGATTCGCTGTATCTCACCGACACAACCACGCTGTTGCTTACCTGGTACGGTTGCAAGGCTGACAGGAAACGATCCTGCGCGCTCATGACGCTGGAACAGCTAACGTTGGACAGCATGCCGTCTCGACCAGGCAGCGGCGGGCAGCAATTGCATTCAGCGGAGGTCGGTGTCATTTTCCTTTCTGATGCGTCATGCATGCATGCATTGCAAGCCACCAGCACCCATGCTTTCGAGGCCTCGCGCCGTCTAGCCGGGACCTTGACACCTGCAATGTATGTGCCTAAAATTCTCGGACTGGTGACATTCGCCCCTGTCGTACCTCGGAGCAGGTACACTGATGAGATAATATCTGCATCCATCTTTATGTAGTTAAGCGGCCCCTGCTCAAGCTCTCTGGACAGTCAAGCATTGACTAGACGGGCCTCAAAGGTCAGCAATTACGTGACCAGCAAGTGTTGCAAAACTCCAATGCTCTGCCAGCAAGTTCTGACTCAAGGCTGTGTGGGCAAGCGTCCATGCGGAAATAGGATCATCAGATTTCACCCTCTTTACAGCATCACGACCGCTTTCCGCATTTGAGGATTGCAATGCAGGGTCCAGGACAACGACGTATACCCGGTGTTATGCCCTAAAATGGGTTCTGGTGACTGAGCGGACTTACATCGAGTAGGCCAGCCCTGCTAACATCACTGGGGGTTGCCGGCTTGTTTCTGTCGCTCTAAATTCTCTGCCTATTCATGCCGTTCCTAGCATGGGCGAATGTGGTGCAGAGTATCCCTAGCGGAACACTTCACACGTGCTAGCCTAGACCATTTGGTCTCTAACCTGTTGCTCAGGCTTTCAGTGAGCTAGCTATGCACGGCAGCCCTATGTTCAGGGCTTTGGCCTCGGGATGGTTGGAGCGGGAAAACGTCATGGACCTAGTAGTTGGCTTGGGTGACCCCTGATGCAGGACTGGGCACACGGTTGGACTGTGAGATCGAACGATGAACAGCCAGTTCTGTGATTGTGGTTGTTCTCCACGAAGTTGCGGCCTGCCGGATTTGGGTAAAGCCCCAGCCACGGGTCCATCAAGACTTTGATCATTGTTCGGCCGAAAATTATGCACGAGTCTTTCTAGGAAGATGTTCTTCTTTCAGTCAGATTCCTGGAGGTCCTGAATCAATTGAGAAACTCCAAATACTTTGGTAGTCAATGCCGCTAATATGACTATCGTATTGAGCGTGTTTCGCGCCGCGGGTGTAATAGTGGCGCGCTGAGCCAGAAGTAGGGCGTGGGTCGTCCCTTGAGGGGTGCCGATTCGGAAAACTTCATCTCGTCGCCTCTCATTCCGAGGAGCTTACACCCTCAACCCATGTCGCTGAGTATCTCTGTAGGCAGTCCGCAGCAGATGGTAGACCCGATTGGCACTGGCTACCCAGGTTCATGACTGGACGTGCATGCCACGCAGAGGAGAAATCGCAGGTACCTACACATTACCCAAGTGCGTCAATGGGCAGACTTCCCGTCAGAGGAGAGGTGACTCCACAAGAGCAGCTCGAAATCCCAGCGGCCAAGGGTTGACACTGGGATGATCGACCACGGGAGCTAGATGGGACCTCCGGAAGGAGCTGCGGCTGCAGCATCGTCATGCAGTAGTGTGGATTTCCTAGCTTTTCAAGGAGCAGCAACTGGGGTAGGCTGGATTGATCTGTGCATTGGACAATTGTCCGCAATTGGTAAACCAGGTGGTCAGCATGACAAGATGATGACGACTGGCGTTCGCAGAGGGTCAACGTCCAGCGAGATCGGGGGAGGCAGGACCGAGGTAGGGCTGGCGAGCAGGGACGAGGAGTGGCGGAACGACGGCGCGACGGGCAAGGCAGGGGTGGTGGAAGATAAAATGGTGATTTAGGTACGAGTCGATGAGAAGAGCAAAGTCACGAATACCGAGTATCTGAATGTAACGGAGAGTGCCAAGGCGCCAAGACTGTGTATCGGTACAATGTGTAATGACAGGACCACCAAAACCATGTCATGACAATACCATACGGCCGAATGTATCGATACGAGCCTCATACTAGACGCCCTGCAGCCTTGCGACCTGATTTCGATTTCGGGTGCTGAGATCAAACTGCCATTGCCACATGGCCAAGAAAACGACTGGAAGCCTCATCGCGTACCGCTCGCATCCGTGGGTCAACCTTGTCAAAACACCCCCCCCCTGCTCCTTGGCAGACTTCTTCGTACAAGGCGAACATTGCTGATCCTGGGGATGGCTGTCGGGCTTTCGGGGACCAGTGTGGATAAGCATGACAAGAGATTAATTATTCCCATTGGTTGGCCGGCGACCTGTATCCCAAAAGATCCAAGAGCACACGGCCCGCTTACGGAAGGATTGAGTCAGCCTGGGACTTGTTTGAAGCTCTACCAAGGAGGAACAAGGACGAGTACGAGCAGCGCGGCGTGGACCAGCGGCCGTCGCTCCACGCTCCAACTCCACCTCGACCTCCTCTTTCGGGGTTGAGGCCCTGGTGACCAGGCGAAAACAGGACGCTGATGGGCAAAGCAGCGTTGGCCTGAAATGGATGTAAGGCGCGCACCCGATCGGTTTCCGTGATACATGCGGCCGCCGATTGGGTTATTTCAGGTCGCTGCCGTGGGAATCGCCAGTCATGGTAGTGCAGTCCTTTGGAAATTGCTCTCTTTGACGGTGCTGACATAGCAAGCATTCTCGGCGAGACGGAACTCTCTACTATGTGCTTCGAAGATCGTGGCACACCTATGGCAGAGGACGCTGGGGAAACCCTGAAGAGGAAAGTTCATATATCGTATACGAGAACTCTACTTCGTAAGGTTGACACCGAGTAATGGGCGATAGGATGATGATATGGGCCTTTCCAGGATTCAACCATCTACATACGGAGATCCTCCTGCGCTGACAACCTCCTCGTTACGAGTTCAGTGCCACCATACATAGATTTCTAGATGGGGCCAGGAGCCTTGGACCCAGCAAGTCGGCAAGAAGAATGGCTTCGATCTTGAAACAGCAATGGCTGGAAGAATCAGCCTTCATATTTAGCTTGTCAGTCTGGCTTTCTACCCTCCTAAATGTGGAATGCCCTGAAATGGAAGCCGCTCATAGAGGCACAGCGGCTCGGCTACAATGGAAAGTGATGCTTGCGTTGAGTCGACGGCGTGTCACGCCTGTGGGCCATGGCCGTTACCCCTGCCAGCTGGGCCTTTCTCCACATGACGTTTCATGGATCGGTAGATTGGCGATGGCCAGTAGAGATGATGTCGAGCGATGATCATGTCGATACACAGCCACACCGCATCCGTGCCAAGCCAGTAACTAACATCGACTGTGGTTGTGTAACGCTCTCTCGAAGACGAATCTGTACTCTGCAGAATAGATACGCCCTGATCTCATTCATGTTCTTCCTCAAGTCACAGGTCCACATATCGTACTCCGTCACCGGCTCTGGGATTGATCATAGTGCCACCAAGTCCGAGGCTGGGCAGGCCTCGAGACATAGGATGACAAGACTGAAAGGCTTTGGAGCTCTGAGTTCTGGTTCCGTAGCTCGGTGGCAGAGAAATGTGTCACTCGTGTCCGCCATTCAGGACAGAGCTTAAGCGCATAAGTGATCTCCGTACCCGGTCGGCGGTATTCATCCGCGGGGAGTGGCTGTCGTCGTTTGAAAGATCTTAATTCCAGGAGGGGCTTGAGGCTCGAGGTTCGACCTCACTAGCAACGAGTGCTGGATAGATTTCAACCCCCGAATGTGAATGGCGGGGCGACGAAATTACCCAGGTCATGCTCCTGCAACGTGTAAGCTGTTGAAAGTGAAATTGGGTAGGCCAGAGGCTTGGGTTACCTTGATGTAATCACTTCCCTTCTCCATATACTCAGCATGTGTGACGGTGGCCGACTCACGGTCGATTCCATCAGAACTACTCCACCAAGAAGCTGCCCCTTTCCAGGCGTCGAGGATCGGGTCCTCCGCCTTGCGGACATTGATTGTAAAATCACATGGGAGTGCCGCAATCAGTTCTTTCCTGAGGCGTTCCTCGAATGTGGGAAACATGGTGTTTCCGCCCGTCAGAAAGACATCCTTCAGGAGCGCCTGTTGCTGATCAAAGTTCGAGAACCGACTCATGATGACACCTTCAATGATTTCAACAAGACCGGCTTGGTCAACTCCAGCAATCGCCGGCTGGAACACCACCTCAGGGACTCTGATACGTTCGACGTTGAGATGAATCTGGTTTGCCTCTCGTTGGCTTTCCGGATCCGCTGGTCTCGCTCCTCGCAAGAAAGCGTGCAAAACACTCTTGGTCCAGTCGTTCTGCGCTTCAATCGTGTCCTTTTCCGAGAATTCTGGGTCAAATTGTAGAAGTTCGCTCTCGAGCGCTTTCAAGGCGGTGAGCGGATCTTCCTCAGGCTCCTCGTCATCGCTGGCAGGTTCGGTGGCCACAGTACGGTAAACGCCCCAGTCGTCGTCGTTGGCTCCGAAGTCATCGTCGTAATCACCTCCGCCCCTGCGCTTTCGCTTTGGTCCATCTGAAGCGAGGTTTGCCAACGTCTTCATCCGCATTTGCGAAGCGATGCCCTTGCGATTGCTTGAGTCCGCCTTCTGCCTCGCCTGCTCTTTGATTTTGGCCAGTAATGCATGGCGTTGTTGCCGACGACCCGCAAGCCAGTCGTCGAAGTGATTTTCACGCAACTCGCGGTCCTTGCGTTCTTCGTCTGCCACGCGCGCCCGCTCACGTTCCTTTTCCGCTTTGGCCCTTATTCTTGCCTCCACGCCTGACTTCATCAGCCTCTGATGCCGCTTCTCCTTGATACTGTCCTCATCCAGCTGATCATCCGGGACATCAAGAAGAGGAAATCTGTTTAGCTGCTCTTCGAGGTTTTCCTCTTCTTCCGGAGCTCCCAGCTCTTTGTTTCTGGATTTCTTGATTGATTTATCCAGATCCCGAATGATCCTCTCTAGTGCGGCTTCATCTTTGAGCTCTTCATCATCGAGTATTCGACGCTGCTCCTTTTTGGTAGAGGCATTCACATAGGAGTTGTGCAGTTTCTGATAGTACTCCAACTGTTGCTCCTTTTTGATGAGTTTCTCCAGCCGCATTTTTGCGGCTTGTTCCTGGAGCCGCCGACCAGATTCCTTTTTGCGTTCGGCTATTCTGGCGAGCTCCTCGGCGGATTTCTCGACAACAACCTGTTCCGTGAAAGGATACTGGATTACAATATCTCGCTTTTCTTCCAGGCCAGTCCAATCTAGATAGGTGGACAGTTCGGTGAGGTAGTCGGTGGAGAGGTAGCAATATTGCTTGATGTACGACTCCATCTGCTCCAGAGTCAACTTCCCAGGAAATGTCGGGTACTTCAATCGGATGAGCTTCAGGAGGTACTCCTGAGCCTGGGAGCCGCCCCAATTCAGCCTCGTGCACATTTGCATCTGAGGCTTCTGATTCAACACTGGAATGATGTGGGTCGACGTATGAGATGAAGACACGATAAGCCCGGATTGACCCTTGTTCTGGCGATAGGAAAAGAGGCTGTCGATTCCGTAGGTGACACTGGGGGCATTGTAGCATTCGAACAACATTTCATTCATCATTCTTCTGCTGTGGCCCAGATTTGCGACAGGCTCCGTGACGACCAGCGGTCTACCCACAGAGCCTTCCCCGTCCACCCCCAATTTGAGGAAGATGTAGTCGTAGACCCCTTCTAAGATATCCCAGTTTGTCGGAATGCTGGTATTTTGCTCGAACGCCGTCCTGATTTGGCCACGAGTCGTGGCATCGGCGTAGGCATCGTAACCGACAAAGGCGCAGTACTTGTTGAACTTTCGATCTTTGAATTTTGCCATGATCGGGGGTACGAGGAATCGAGGGCTCTTGTCGAAAGAGAAACCAGCCTTAATGGTGCTGGCTCCTGTACCAACACATGTTAGCTGCCCAATGCTTCAACGGCTGTAGGTGTGTTGACTTACCATTGTCTATGACTATTGCGCTTTCCGAAGGAGTGGCCGCGCTCTGTTGATAGCCATCTGGCTTTGGAGGCTGCCATCCTTTGAAAGGAAAGTCCGGAGCGGCATAGACTCGTGGGCTCGACTGCGGTTGTGCATCTGGGGGCGGCGTAGGAAAGCGACGCTCTGTCGCGAGGCGGGTGATGGATGTGATTGTCATTTTGTGGTATTCATCCTTGTCTGTGTGAGGACAGTTGGCCGCTGACTGTGCTTGCGCTTCACGGCAGGCTGTGTCTTTCTGTACCTTTGAATGCGAATGAGCGCACACAAGTCAAGGAGACGGTTCCAGCAAGGATTAAATTCATGTTGGAGAGCGCGTCACGCTGCGGAGAAATTCTGCAGGGGCATCGCGGCAGCGCAGCCCGCGTTTGGCGGAGGGACATTTATGTGCGCCATCAAACAATTATGGACTGCTAGATATCAATTCGATGTGATTCCTTGGGTGAATATACTGCTATGATTGACATATGGACGCATCAGAAACATCTAATATACAGACCGGGATTTAGATGCTGGAATCTGACCACAAGCGGTGGCTTGTACTCGATCCGCCCCCTGTTCCAAGGCACTGAGTCCGCTCAACCAACTCATTGTGCTTGATACCTTGATGCTGATCAATACTTGCTAGTACCATCATGCGCCAGAGATCATAAAGTGCGCTCGATGCACTTCAGTTCCAATCCTTGTTGCTCCATCGGAAGTTCTTCCAACTGCATTGTCGGGACTTTTCAATACTGTATCTGTGCTATGCACCAAGCCGACGGGGGTACCTTTGACCTCTCTTATTGTAGTGTCGACCCTGTATCACTCTTTTGGCGACCGGTTCCCGCAGTCGCTCATCTCACAGAGGATCCTTTAGGTTGTCCGTTGCTAGAAAAATGTCACTTCGGCAACGTCTTCATCTCGCCTCAGACGCTCTTACCTTCAAGATGAAATAGAACGTTTGATTGATAGTTCTTGAACATTTGCGCCACCAATTCAACATTCATGTTCTGAACATTGACATCCTGTAATCCATTCTCAGGATCGAGTCTTCATCTTCGTTGCCTGGGCTACGGTACCTGCAGATTCCTGTTCATCATCATCACAGCTTCATTCAGTTTTTCCTAAACACAGCCATCAACCTCGGTCCTATAGACAAAGTCAGGCAACGGCATACAATGTTCGTTATGATCCTGGACAACAGGAGGCTTTGTTGCTGCTCGTGCGGACTCTCCTGAGATATGACATTAGCATGTGTTCAGCAAAAATTGTTGGGAACGCACCATCTTGGTGATTTAGTACCGACGACGTTCCCTAGACAATCCACGGTCACAAATATCTTCGAGTGATTGAAAGGGACCCACGACGCGATCAGTTCGCGATGGTGCTGTGGTCGCCCAGATTTGGACGAGTGCGATGCTGCCTTGTACTGTTAAATGTTGGTGGGGCTAGATGACCAAATCTAGTGGTGGATGTGGGAATCGACCTGGCTGATCCAATAGGGAGGTAGAAGTCATCAAAAGCGGCGCTATTGCCAGATTATTTGGAACCAGCCCCGCATTGCAGACGCTGTTTCTGAAGCTAAACCGTGCTGGCAGTTTCTACGAGGGACAAAAGAACTCTACAAGGCACGCGGCCACCAGCGGTTATACGCTGGTCACTCTCCTGCACCAAGTGAGATACCTCGGAATATCACATGATCATGCCGAGGTTTCGCTGATTAATGCTGGGCATGGCATTACGCAAATCCCTGCCACCAATGCCCATACCCGCCGCCACCACCCTTCCAAATCCCCTATTACAGCCCTCCGAACTCTGTCCAGATTGGGCTTGGGTTGAGCTTCTCCACTAATATATTCCCGCGGGGCTTTATTTAAACTCAAACGTGGATGAGTTGAAGCGTGCTCGGTATACAGACTCAGGTAAACAGCATCATATCCAGTCTAAGTTGGACAGAAATATTTTCGATCCGGCAAGAGTAACTCTCACAGCAGGTTCTCATTTCAAGTTGTCCCCAGCCAAGATGCCGAAATGCAAAAGAGTTTTGATATTTGGAGCAACAGGGCTTATTGGAAGTCGTATTACGCGTGAAATCGTGCGAAACAAGGACAAGTTTGAGAAGATTGCTATCTTCACGTCACCAGGTTCCTATGAATCCAAGGCGGACAAACTCAAAAGCTTGGAAAAGGAAGGGGTAGAAATCATCCTAGGCGATTTAAACAACTCGGTCGACGTGGTCAAAGCCTACCAAGGTGAGATTCTCAAATGTACTTACATCATTGGTCTAACATGGCGCTCGACAGACATCGACACTGTGGTTTCATGCCTGGGCAGAAATGTGCTTGAATGTCAACTCCAGCTGGTTAAGCTTGCCAACGACAGTCCTTCGGTCCACCGGTTTTTCCCATCCGAATATGGAACCGATATCGAGTATGGGCCGTCTTCTGCCCACGAAAAACCACATCAATTCAAGTTGCGGGTTAGAAAAGCGTTGCAGGCTTGTGACAACCTAGACTATACCTATGTGGTTGTCGGGCCATACGCCGATGGGGAACCCGGCCTCTATTTCAGCGCAAATCCCATTACCAAGGAAGCTGGAACGTTCGATGTTAAAAACAAAGAAGCTGTATTGCTCGGGGATGGGAATCTCAAGATCAGCTTCACCACTATGAAAGAGTAAGTGCCACCCTCTCCACTTCTTTGGACATAGCACCGATAGACTTCCCCAGCACTGGCAAACTCGTGGCTCTTGCTCTCCTCCATCCGGAAGCAAGCCGGAACAAGGCACTACGAGTCAACTCTTTTACGGCCACCGACTCGGAAATTCTCAAAGAGTTTGAAAAGCAAACGGGTGGAGAGCCGTGGAAAGTGTCCTACACTAGCCTTGCTGCTTTGAAGAAGCTTGAGCAGGAAGCTTGGGATGCTGGGAAGCCTTGGGCCGGCCTCTTCACCCTGAGGAGAATTTGGGCCGAAGGAGGGACCCTGTACGACAAGCGAGACAATTACCTGATCGAGGCGGAGGACGTGATGGAGACTCTGGCAGATGCTGTTGCCGAAGCCATCAGAGTTCAAACGCGTTGAGATATTTCGAGGAAGGGGTGTATCTTTGCGAAGCGGTCGGATCAACGGAGATATGCTCCTTTCGCAGGAACAACTATGTAGGTATTCCTCAACCCAACCGCATCAAAATATTGCCTGAGAGTTTTCACAAAATTTATTGAACTGTCCTCCAGACTGGTCGTGATGAGGACGACACGGATGAATGGCCTGTGCACATCATCGCCGCATTGGTACAGCACCATATGCCGCCCCACCCATATATTGTCGGAGGTGCATATATGCTTGCGACTAGCATCACGATCGGCACAGCGGAGATCTATAATGGTCGCCTTGACTTACCAATAGTGGCATCGCCGGGTAGCACCAAACAGGGAACCGAGTACGGAGAAAAGGCATCATAGGACGGGTTACGGGTGTGGTTTCGTTCATTTGGACATGGTACGGTGCGCGATGGGCGGAGGTGCGTTTCTTACAAAATGTGGTGAGTTCGTAGCCGGGTGTCCCAGGTGCGTTCTGAAAGCTCAATTGAGATTACTCGAAAATTGCATGGGATTCGCGTCCTACAACTCGCTCATCTGTGTGTAATATGGGTCAAGAGGCATCAAAGCCCGATCCCAATGCGAGGCTCCAGGTGATTGGCTGCGGCATGTATGTCTCGTACTCTCTACAACCCTTTGGCCTTGTGGCGCTTCTGGGACTTCCCGAACTCTATGGTTTTCCTTCCTGATATAGCTGCGCAATTACTTACCACCGACTAGGTCCCGTACTGGAACGGCATCATTCAGTCGGGCGTTGGAGATTCTCCTTGGCGGACCGGTATATCATGGTGGAAGTCAACTGGTGGGCGCGGGAGAAGACCACATACGCGCCTGGATTCACCTGTGCAAGCATACACCCATCGAAACCGAGTCGGACAAAAAGGTGGTTCTCCATGGACTCAAGAACTTGTTGTCCGGGTACACCGCCGTCACGGACATGCCACCCATCCTCTTCACCGAAGAACTGGTAGAGCTGTTTCCGGACGCCAAGTTCATCTGCACGACACGGGACCCGGAGAGCTGGTGGAAGAGCATGGAACGAATCGCGGCAAAGACAGACACGGAGGCGGATCGGAACGACAGGGTGCTCGCTTTCCTGCTTGCGCTGTTGCCGACCATGAGGTATTGGAAGGCCTTCTCCGACGCCCTCAGGTACGGCCGGTTCGGCGAGCTGTTCTATCGGTCCGGGCACAATCATCCGCACCCAGGACAATACAACGAGCATATGGAGTACGTGAAAAGAGTTGTCCCGCCCGAGCGCCTCTGGTTCTACGACGTCAAGGAGGGATGGGAGCCGTTGTGCAAGATTCTCGACTGTGACGTGCCCAACGTACCATTTCCACGTGTCAACGACGCAGAAGCAACCGACAGAATCATCCAGGCCCAGGTCCAACGAGGTATACTTGCGTGGACGGGTGCTAGCGCGGCTGTTGCAGTCATGGGCTTCGGCATGTGGCGAATGTGGTTGGCGCGATAGAGGGGTTATTCTGATGTTGTGTCCGTACAAGTAGCTATGTCCCTCAAGGTAGTTTAAGCTTGTGAAAGGCGTCTTCGTTATCTTCTCCTGGTTCTGGAGCGCAGTTCAAGATCTGTAGAAAGAAAACAACAAACAACAAAGTCCCTTTTTTGAGGTGGCAGATCGACAGTAACTTCCCGAGTCTCGTACGCGGAACGCGATCCCTGTTCCCCGTCTCGCCGTCTGCGTCTGTGGCTCTCCAAACCTTGTCCGAGATCCCGCATCTGCACATTCTCAAGACTGTACACTGCTCATTGAAAATTAGCAGTAGGTGAACAAAATACGGCACGATCTCACGCCGTGAAAACTATCCTCGAACTCCTCCAGCGACAATGCCTCCATCCACCCCACAGCCCCAAGATGATTCCCACCAGCAACTCCTCGATCAAATGGATATTTACTACACGCCCAAGCCCTTCCGCAATGCACACTGGAAGCCCGGCACGCGACGAAACAAGAACACCAAGCAGATCATCTCCGAGTCGCAACGAAAAGAAGCCTCCGTGCTCGCCACCCAGAACAACTCGGGCGCCTCGACACCTCTCCCGGCCACGGGCGCGAATT